CAGTCAAACTCAAGCAGAGGAATTGCATTCATGCAGCTCCAGTTTCCTTAAAATCCTGGCCTCACAGACTTCTCTTTGCTACCACGTCCTCAGTGGTGACCCAGTCAGAATCTCCAATTGCTTGTTTCCAGATTGTCACTGGACTCTGGACATGGGTGTTTCCTTGGTTGATGTTTCATTGTTGGTGTTACAAACATGATTTTTAATTTCACAGGTGCCCTGGTTGATCGTCACGAGCGCGCAAGCCCTAAGGTCAGCTGTGTGGCCTGCTTCCAGAACTCTCTTACTCTAGTGTTTACTGCTCTGATTCTCAGCCACACTCTCTGACCAGCTGCCTGACCTCTGTGATGAGGACCCATGGACCGGCTACCCTGGATTATGCCAATTTGTCCTCTTTTTTTTTCCTTACCAATTGAGTTCGTGTAACACAAAATTAGAGACTGTTTTGTTAATTTTATACAGACAGTATATTATAGAATTAGCTTTATACTATACTGTATTAAATTCTATACTATGTTCAATTCAATCAGCATTAACTTTTTGTGACCACAGGTCATTTCTATAAGAAAACAGACCAGTGCTTCCCAAACCGCCTATGAATCACCTAGGGATCTTGTTAACAGGTAGACATGGTTCAATAAGTGTGAGGTGGGGTCGGAGATTCTCCAAGTGCAGTGAACTCACAGGCAATACCAATCTTGTTGGTCTATAGACATTTTGAGTTGCAAGGATATTGCCACAGACTGAATGTTTGTGTCCCTGCAAAATTCATATATAGAAGCCCAGTCCCCACGGTGATGGTATTTAAAGGGAGCGGGGGGGGGGCCTTTGCGAGGTGATTGGGTCATGAGGGCACATCCTCATGAATAGGATTAGCGTCCTGATGAAAGAAACCCCAGAGAGCTCATTTGCCCCGACAACCATGTGAGGATTCAGTAAGAAGATGGTGGTCAATGAACCAGGAAGCAGGCTCTTGCCAGACATGAATCCACTGGCGCCTTGATCTTGGACTTCCCAGCTTCTAGGACTGTAAGAAATAAATTTCTGTTGTTTATAAGCCACCCAGTCCAAGGTGCTTTTGTTATAGAAGCCTGGATAAATTAAGATACACACATATAAACACACATACCTTTTGAAGACCCACCAAGAAATCGTTGTTTTTCTTTGTTCTCAAATTAGAGTATTTAAACAACTATCATAAGTTGTGGTCTCGGAGTCGCATCCTTTCATGTGTCCATCATCCTTTCTCTTCTCTCTGCTTCCTATTAACTTAGGCCCTCCCCTATTCCTGCCAGACTACTGCAGACCACTCTCCCTCCATCCCAGGTCTCACTTGTACTAGACTGCACCGGCAGATCACCGAGGACAGCCTTTGTCAGGTCAGTCCCTTGCTCAGAAAGCTTCAGTGAGTTCTCATTGCCCAGAGAATAAAATATAGTCTCTTTAATAAGAAAATCTAATGTTCTTTTCCAATACTTCTTCCCTATATGAACTTCCTGTTCTCTGAATACACTTGCACTGTCTCTCCTCTGAGCCATTACTTATAACGTTCCTGGCTGGACTGTCTTCTCACCAAGGCCACCAACTGAAACGCTTATTGTTTTCAAGTCTCCGGCCATAATAGTCTACCTGTGCATTAAGCCTATTCATAAAGGATCACTCACTCTGAAATTTTAACACAATGCACGTATCCACTCTCCTTGTCATAAGGCTCTGCGCCCATCCTGAGCCATCTATGGAAGTGTATTTGCTATAGTTAAAAATTCCTGGAGGGCAGAGACCCTAACGAATCACTTTCTATGCTGCCCTTGGCCTGGAGGTCAGTGTTAGGCACTGGGTGGCACATATTGCTGGGGTGAGAATAAGCCTTATGGAACCAGATGCACCTGAGTTTCAATCCAGGGCCCACAGCCCACCAGCTGTGTGACTTTGGGCAAGTTGCACAACCTCTCTAATGTTTCCCTCATCTGGAAATTAAAGATGCTGATACTTAGGTTGTTTGGAGAGTTAAAAGAAATAATGCATATAAAGGGCAAAGCACAAGGCACTAAGTAGAAATCTGTGGGGTTTAAAAAAATTATTTTTACTTTTTTTTTAAAGATTTTATTTATTTATTTGAGAGAGAGAATGAGATAGAGAGAGAGAGCATGAGAAGCGGTAGGGTCCGAGGGAAAAGCAGACTCACTCTGAGCAGGGAGCCCGATGCGGGACTCAATCCCGGGACTCCAGGATCATGACCTGAGCCAAAGGCAGTTGCTTAACCAACTGAGCCACCCAGGCGCCCCAAAAAAATTATTTTTAAAGTAAACTCTACTCCTGACCCCAAGATCAAGAATCGCACACTCTACTGACTGAGCCAGCCCAGCACCCCTGGAAGTTTTATCAATACCAACAGCAATAGCATAGTAAGCACACAACATGTATTTGTTAAATGAATGCACAAATAATTAGTGTCTAACTTAAATCCTTTCTACTACAATCAAGGATCATGTTTTTAGTGGAGAGGAAATTATTCATGCTGTTATTTTTTAAATGTTTAACATCAATCCCACCTTGAATTTACTTTCCTTTGTCACACATATGACTTTCCAGTTTTTAAAGCAATTTTCCTGATTCTTTAGGCCTGTTCTATAGCCTTGACTTTTTTTTTTTTCCGTAAAGCCTTGGAGAGAGGAGTAGGGCTTCGTGTCAGACACTACTCACAGTTTGGAGCTGTAACCGCACAGGATATGATCCTACTTAATGGCTTGTCAGCACCTACCAGTGGTGCACAGGGAATAAATGTTAAGTATCAGTCCATCTACACTAGAAAATTACATCTGTTTTGTGTTTTCTTATCTAAAACGATGGGAAGGACTGTATTTACAGTTGTATAGGAGAGACACCACTGTGTGTCCCCTCTGCCATGACAGTGTTAGTTACCATGTTCACAACACTTCTGACACCAATATGTGGGTTTATTCCCACACCCACCAAGTCTCTGACACCAGCTGGGTGTCTTACAACTTAATTCAGTCCTGACACCATCTCCCTGGATTTAGTGTCAGATGCCACAGGTTAAGAGCTTAGTCCCACCAGACTGCCCTGCCCCGCTTCAGAAGCCAGTAGAAAATCCAGGTTGTTACTGGTACGTCTGACCAACCAGCTATAAACTGGGACTTGGGCTCGATAACTTGCTAGAGTCGCTGACAAAACTCAGGGGAACACTTATGTTTAGCGGTTTATTATAAAATAAAGCATATAGATAAACAGCCAGATGAAGAGATACATAGGGCATGGACCGGACTGGGACGGTTCTGGAAGCAGGAGCTTCTGGGCCCTGGATTCAGGGGGCACCACCCTCCTGGCACGTGGATGCGCTCACCAACCTGGACGCTCTCTGAACCCCATACTTTTGGAGATTTTTATGGAGGCTTTAATCACATAGGCATGATCAATCATTAACCCGATCTCTAGTCCTTCTCCCCTTCCCAGAGAATGGGAAGGGGTGGGACTGAAAATTCCAAGCTTCCAATCATGGCTGGGTCTTTCTGGTGACCAGCCCCCATCCAGAAGCCCAACAAGAGTCACCGATTAGAACAAAAGACACTCCTATCACCCAGGAAATTCCAAAGGATTTAGGAGCTCTGTGTCCAGAGCTAGGGTCAAAGACCAAATATTAGAACAAAAGATGTTCCTAGTGTTCTTATTACCCAGGCTTTAGGAGCTCTGTACCAAGAACCAGGGGGAGGGGCCAATATATATTTTCTATTACTTACCATAGTTACAGCCTAACTATGAATACTAATATTACTTTATTACTTTCTAAACTAATATTACTATACTTTATTACTTTCTAAACTAATATTACTATAAACTATACTTACTAAACTAATATTACTTTATTAAAGTTGTTTTTTTTTTCCACTCTCCATCATAAAGACAAAATTAAAACCCGTGATGAATGCGGACATAGAACTGTTTCATTTGATTCCACCCACCACGGTTGTAAGTCTAAGTAGGGACAGTAAAAGCCTCCTGCCCCCCTCCTCAATTCCAGTCAGTAAAAGAGAACATTCCAAGCCTCCTAAGGGGCATTTTCATCCTTCCCACCAACAGTGTCCAGATAAAGAAGAGGTCTCAGGAAATGACTTCGTTGCTGGAACCTGGATGAGTTCCCCTGTTTTCTATCCAAATCCTGTCCTCAGAACTGACCTTCACATGCTTTCTCTCCTTGAGACGTTCACCTCGCATTACCTTTTCCCCTGTTACATTCCTGCCTGTGGCTGGCGTCACGTGCTTGAGAATGTCACAGGAGTCCAACTTGTGTTTTCTCTAACCGTTCCGCATGTATGTGTCTGCTCTGCTAACGAGACTTTTAGAAAAATATGTTTAGGGAAAAGCTCCCACAGGACTGTGACTTGTAGGAAACGAAGTAGCACGCCAAGTGACATTTGCAGTCACACACTCCAGTGAACATGGCTGCCTTCAGTGAGAACTGCTAATCTCAGATCAGCTTCAGGAGGCCAGAGAACACAGCGTCCTCGTCTGTTAGAACCTTATTCATTCACTCATTAGCAGAGGTCTGTGATGTTCCTACCATGGGTCAGGAACTGTGGTAGGCACTAGGGCAACAGTGGTGAATGGGATACACAGCTATTCTTCCCTCTCATGGTTTGTAGTGTCGTGGGGAAGGCAGACAAGTAGATGCTCAATAAACACGTGCTATCTGAGGGGCACATTTAAAGAGCGAAAGTGAAATCACAACTTAATCCAATTCCCCCTATGTGCTGGGCTCTGCGCTAGAATTGGACTACAAAGATTAAATAAAATGCAGACTCTGCCCTCAAGAATTTCTATAATCTTCAGTTCTATGATAAATTAAAGTCTACTCTGATCTGCATATGTGGGCAAAACCATTCTTTTCCAGGTACCTTACCCATGATCTCAAGGGTGTGTTATATATATGGACTGACACGCCATCAAATCAAATCTGTAAGGAGACTAAATGAAATACGCACCAAAGGCACAAGTCCTTGCAGTGGGGTGGCTTCCTCTGCCTCGTAGAGATAGAAATTCAAAGGAGGAAAGAAGTAGCCGGGGGCCGGTTCAGAGCAGCGGCGGCCTGTGATGTGCGGGCGGCATTCACACTGCCCATCCTTGGGTGAGCACCTGGGGAAAAACAAATCCATCATGCACAAACGTGGTGGTGGTGGTGGTGGGGGCAGGTATAAAATGAAGGCATGGGAGTGCTGAACTCAATGCCTTCTGAGTTTGGACCCACTCTTTGAATCTATCAATCTGTTGTCTTGAGGAGGAGGTTAGGAGGCCTTGGGCTTTACGTGTCTGGTCTTGAAAAGCCAGTCCAGATCTATGAAACCCAAGTAGCCATTCTTTCCTCTGATTCTGCTCTAAAGACTGCAAACAGGGGTGTTGGACCTCTCTTTATAGGGTGGCAAAAAGTTGGTGTTTTAGGCAGGTCAAGTCACACGAGGCATCCATTTTACCACCTCCTGGGATACCCAGGGAGTAGAACTGTTTCTCTTTTCCTTAGGAATATTTCAAGCAAAATAAATCAACTGAGCTGTAGTTAATGTTCCAAGATCATCGCTTTTCAACGCCCTTTGCTTGTCATGGAATAAAGCCCATCGCCGATGACTAAGAGCATATCAGAATAAAATGTGCTTTTATGTGGAAACGTGAGTGAAGACTATAGCCACAGAACTTTGTCATTCATTTGATTGACTTACATATTGGAATAAGCACCTCCAATATCACAGTCGCAGGGAGAACAGCCACGGAGGTGATCTTCCAGTCCCCAGTATCCAGCCTACAAAGAGAAAATGCTCAGCCGATTCCAGCTATGAAGAGATTTGCTGCTCTAAGTGTACTATTAAAACCAGTACGATTCAACTGACTCATGCCAAATAGCCACACAGCCTGGGCAATCACCCAGCCTTTCTTGCCTGCACTTGGTAATGATCTTCGAGGACACGTATCTCCCATTTCTGGGACTTGAAATGAGGGGGACAGGTGGGTTGTCTGTGGATGACTCCAAGCTCAGATGCGGTGGAAACTACTGGGTCCTTTAACAACATCAATTCCGTCTCCCACTGGGTTACCTAAGGCCAGTGTGGGGAGAAGGTCTTTAGCTGATTTGCAACTGCTTTTGTAAAACCAATAGGTTCCCTTACCACAAAATCCCTAGGGATTTTTACCTCCACAACCCTAAAATGTTTGGGATAAACAAACAAATAAAAAATCAATCAAGCTGCTTTTGAGATCTTAGTTGAATATCACAGTTCAGCAGGCTCTCTTGTTTATAAATAAGTTGTTTTGGCATAATAAACTCTGTGTGAGAGTCAACTTTGCTTGAGACTTTTTTTCATCATTGCAACATCTTGACCTTTATTCAATATAAGCAGCTGGTGAGATACAAACAACTAGTTCTTAAATCTGATAACATTTACTATAAAATGCTAAAAAATAAAATGCTTCCCCCTCAGATCTCAAGTTAACACGCTCAGACAATTAAAAAATTAAGGTCTTAATAGGCATGGCGCTCTTGTTGGAAACAGGTCTGTTAAGTATCAATATACTTTTTTTTTTCATTAGCTTGGTAAAATTTTATGCCCGATTTTACTCAAAAAGATTTATTTTAAACATTAAAAGTTGACCTAACTTGTTACAAAACACAGGAAAGGAATTTTGATATTTTTCCCAAAACTAAACTTGAGGCAAAACAACGTGCCATGACCGGCCTCACTCAGGATGTGGTTGTGAAAACTCCCCCTGGGCCGGGCGTGCTGGCATGGGGGGATGTGGGGGGCCCCCACTCAGGTCCCAGGCACCACCGGACACAGGAGGAAGTGGGGTACTTGGCGGATGCGTGGGCTCAGCCACAATGGACGAGCCCCCACGGGGTGGCCCCTGCTCAGTTATTTTCCTGCATCCTTCTCCGTGTTGCCCCCACATGGCCGTGGAGTTGGCCTGGCTCACCTTCCTTCATAATTTCTAGGTCACCTGCCCTGTCTTAGAGAGCTCCCTCTTTGTACATTATTGACTGGCTTTCTTTCCCCGCCTCCTGTGCCCCATCCTCATATGTTTTCAGTAAAATGACTTAAAATATTACCACAAAACTATGTTGTAATAGGCATATGTTTCTTATTTATCAGCTACATTTCTTCAGACACATCAAGGTCACTGTTCTCTTATTAGGTTCAGCTTTTTTTTTTTTTTCTTTCTTTCTTGCTAAAATGTCACGGTGGGCTGCCAAGATTGGAGAACAAAGGGACGAGTTGGATTTGAACTCCCTAACTGCATGACACATTTCTTATGGTGTAAAAAAAGGTTTTCTTTGACTAATTTTAGACATACGTGCTCATATGTTTAGTGGAGTCTGTGAAAAATCCAGGAGTTTATTTCCCACAGGAATCTACAATACATGTAATCCTGTGGTTTGGGGGTTTTATTTATTTTTTTTAATGAGCTCATCCAAAATATTTTTTAGGCAAGGAGTGGTAGGGGTGATAAAGGGACTGTATGGGAGAGACAGAAGAAAAGTCTCCGTGATCTGATGGGCGGAGAGAGGGGCGGAGATAAATCGTCGCATTCTATTGCTTGGCACTTTCGGGAGAACAGTGCATACATAACACTTCTGACAACAGTGCCTGGGTGGGTTCGGGCCAATTTGGTAAAAGTTGGTGTGCTGGCAAATGTCTAACAGCCGGCTCTCTCTAGAAGGGTGCAGGCTGATTTCTAGTGTTTGCGGATTTCTGTAGCATATACAACCTTTCCCAGGGAGGCCTGAAATACATCAGGACAAGGAAAGCAATGAACAAGACCGGGTCTCTTCTGGGCAATGGCAGCAGAAATCGAAGCGACGACCTACAAGGGCAATCCTAGGCAAATACCTACGGTGCATTCTTCACAGTGTGGTCCCGTGGCGAACGGCTGGCACAAGCATCGCCCTGTGTCCACATCGCAGGCTGAGAGGGGCAGACTCCCCCAGGGGTTACAGTCGCAGGCTGAAAGCACGGCAAACACAGTTATTCTCATTTTTACTGACCCCACTCTTGTCCTGAAGAGCTCACACAGAGCAAAATGACGTGGCCTCAAGAATACAGAGCCGCCAGACCTGCCTAGTATCTGGTCCGCCTGGTCGCACGATTACTGTAGTGCGTGCAACCCCACCCAGGAAAACCAGGCCCAGACACTTCCAGAGCCCCCGTGCAGTTCTGTTGGATGGCACTTAGGAGGAGACAAAGGAAAAGAAGTCGCGCAAGCGGGCGCAGCTGGGACAGTCACCCTGAGTGATGCCACGGGGGGGGTCAGCTCGCTCGATGAGCAAGGGTTTCTGAGGCTTGTGGTTGTTAGCGACGGCTCCTTTTCTGGCAGATGCATCTAATGTTTCTCTCTCTCTTCTCTCTTCTTACTGCCTTGTTACGTTTTCTTTTCATTGTCTCCCTCCTCTTTCTCTGCCACGCACAGGCATCCCTGAGTTCTGCCTTTGTTGTGAAGGCTAAGAAATTTGCTAAGAGCAAGATACACATTTCCCCTGCAGGAAAAACCACTGCTTGCAGAAACAACCCAAATGTCCATCGAATGATGAATGTATAGGTCATATGTGGAGTATCCACACAATGGAATGTTGTTAAGCCATAAAAAGGAATGAAATATTGACACACACTGCAACATGGACGAATCTTGAAAACATGATGCTAAGGGAAAGAAGCCAGTCACAAAGGACCACATATTGGATGATTTCATTCACATGAAATGTCCACAATGGGCAAATCTACAGAGACAGAAAGTGGACTCATGCTTGCCCAGGGCTGGGGGAATGGGGGATGGGGAGGTGGTAGCTAAAGGCCATGGGGTTTCTTTACTTTTCTTAAGGTAAAGATTTTATGTGACATAAAATTTACCATTTTAAATACACCCACACTGTTTTGCAACTAATCTCCAGGACTCGTCTGTCATCTTGTAAAACTGAAACTCTATGCCCTTTAAACACCATCTCCACTCCTTCCTCCCCACCCCCCAAGCCCTTGGCAACCACTACTTTGTGCTTCCATGGACTTGACTGCTCGAGGTACCTCATGGAAGTGGATTGATCATATAGTAGTTGTCCTTTTGTGACTGGCTTATTTCACTGAGCTGAACCTCCTCAAAGTCCGTCCATACTGTTGTATGTGTCAGAGCTTCCTTTTTAAGGCTGAAGAATGTTCTGTTGTATGTATATGCCATGTTTTGCTTGCCCACTCATCTATGGATGGACACTTGGATCGCTTCTACTTTTTGGCTATTGTGAATAATGCTGCTATATGAACAAGAGTGTACACATCTTTCCAATCTTTTGGGTAGATAGCCAGAAGTAGGCTATAGGGTTTCTTTTTGGGGTTATGAAAATGTTCTAAAATTGATTATAGTGGTGGTAACACAACTCTGAATAGACTAGAAATCACTGAATTGTACTTCAAAGGGTGAATTTTATGGTATGTGAATTATATCTCACTGAAACTGTTACAAAAGAAAAAAAAAAAACCCCACAACATTTGGCCTATTCTGGGAGGGCATCAGGTCAATACTGAGCCAGGGGAAACACTTCGGTGTGATGGGGATTGGCTTGACGATAAAATTCACTATCCTGGAATTTAATGTTGCCATTAAACTCCAGAAGAATGTAGGATTCTGCATGCTGTTCTCTAAACATGCAAATAATCTACAGTTCCTTATATGAGCAAAAACATAGAGCATGATACTGTGACCAAAGGGAAATTATTCCCCCAGGATTCCCTGGGGAATCTGCAGCTCTATGAGACCGTAAGCAACTCTAAATTTCTGTGATCCCGGGGCCAAGAGTCTCCCCATTTGGCCCCAGAAAACTCTGAGGTTCTTCCTATTTCCCCACAACCTCTCCCTTGGCTCTTTAATTTTTTTCTTCTCTTTGTCAGAGAATATAGGACCAATTCCAGGAGGGGTATGAGAAGAAAGAGGAAAAGTAATTTTAAAGAAGGAAAAAGAAAAGAAACAACCACTTGAAGATTGCTTAAGAAGTCCTCAATCTATGCATAAATGCGTAATGTAATTTAACGGATTTGTATAAGAGAGTCCAAGTCCAGACCATTTTTCTAAAGGTTTCGCAACTTGGCGTTTTCCCATGTTTGCCCCAGTGAGGAAACGTGAGCGCCCCCTGCTGGGCCCTTATGATAATCTCAGCTAACCACCAAGAGAAAAATCACCAATTTACTAAAATTTGTGGGAGGTTTGTTTGCATCACTTTAGAAAACCCAGAGGCTGGCAATACCTTGGGTGTTTACAATGACCGAATTTTAGGGCTGAAAGAGACAGCCCCAAGCTTTAAAACGCATCCGGGCTGGTGGACCGCCGCTGCCAACTTACGCTGACAACCCGCGGGGTCCGCGGCGCTCAGCCCGTGGTGGTTGGGCTTGCACTGGTCGCACTTGGCTCCTTCCACGTTCTCCTTGCACAAGCACTGGCCGGCCACAGTCCCCAAAGCAGGATCAGGGTGGCTCACACACATGCCACCCGATAAGCTCCCGTCTGGGTCACATTCACAAGCTGGGGACACAGACACGCATTATCTTAGTTAATTGCAAATTGCGGGAAACCTGCGATATAAACATAGCATTTTACTCACGTTATAACTATTTTATTTTGTTTAAATAATTAACTACGTTTAAACAACTAGACCAGTGGGCGAAGGCTGTTTAGAAATGTCTCCCAGATCTCGGGCTTTGGAAAATGTTGAACGATCCCATACATACATATGTGTATGCATATATGTATATATATACATATATATATATTTTTAAGGCTTTTAAGTGATTCTAAAGTAAGAGGATCAGAGGAAGACTGCTCTTATGAAAACTGGGTGTGAAGAGTACATTGATTAGTTTGCAGGATGATGAAAACATTTTGGAGCTAGGTAGAGATGCTGATCGTACAACTTTGTGCTACAAAATTGTTCATTTTAAAATGGTTAATTTTATGTTATGTCAATTTCATCTCAATGAAAGAAAGATTAAAAGAAGAAAATAAGACTCCAAAGGTGAGAATGAAGTCTAGAGGCAAGTAAGCATGGGATGCTGTAATGAAATACACAATATATATACTTATATATATATTACTTATATATTTATATACATATTTATATATTATTTATATATTAATTACATATATTATTTATGTATATATAAATACACAAATATACATATATATGTATATATAATTGAGGGTCATGAGAGAGTAAGAGAAAAAAACATTACGTAAAATATCTACCAAATCTCTGAAATCTGGTTAAGAAAGTAAGTCTGCCCTTCCCCATCACAGAAAAATAAGGATAAATGCTAACATTCTCTTTAATTCGTCCTGGAAGAAGCACCTTCAAGAAAGAAAGAGGGAGAATAGCAAGAAGGGTTTATATCACCGTTTCCTTTTTGGAAATCTGCGGGCACAGCAAAAGCTGGGATGAAGAGATTCTGCAAAATGAGATGGTCACCTATCGCAAAGGAGCAACAAAAGCACCACCCCACCCCCACCCCCTTTTCTGTTCAGCAGAAACTTGAACGCTATGAAAAAGGATGCTGATCGTACAACTAATTCCAGAGGGGAGAAGTGATAAAAGGCAGAGAGTGATTTGACTATAAGGAAGAGCTCCCTGACAGAGCTGCCCAGTAGAGCAGTGACCCCCCACATTTTTGAGGGGTAGTGTCCAGGAGAGGTTGGAATGGCAGTTGATGTAGCTTTGGTAGAGAGGACAAGTCTGCAGGTAGATAATCAGATGACCACCGGCGTCTCTCGTAGCCTCGTGGGGCTGGGTTTCCAAGGGATGCCACTTTTAAGGAATGCAATAAAGATTTTAAAAAATGAATATCCTGATTCTAAGAAATAATTGTATTCACATTCATACAGTTTTACTTTGGAGGAATAAAAACAAACCCCTTCAATCTAAAGCCATGTTATGTATGTTTATATAACACCCATTTAGGTTAGTGAGTTTGGTGGAAAAAACCTAGTTGTTTGGGGTATTGAAGCAAATATGTGGTTTGTCTGGCAGAATCTTTAGATTTTCAACTGTTATTGGATTGTGACTGGTAATAAAATCTTATTACGGAAAAACAGCATTTGGTTCTGTTTAGTTTGGGGAAAACCAGAAGAAGCCCAATAAAATTTCTCGGCATCACACAACTTAACTTCAGCAAACTCACATTATCAGTGGTTGAATCTACCAAATCTTTGTGTCTTTTCCTGTATCACAATTGACTGTGTTTTAATCACAGAAGACTTAAAATTGGTCATCCCTTAGGCCTGGAATCTGATTATGTAAATATTTAGGCTCAAACAAGGACAATTCAGAGAAAATTTATGTGAGACTGCTGGTCAGTCTTAATAAATGCCATTTGTACACACATAATCCCACACACATAAACATGTGTTTAGGGAAACTGGGGAGTCTCATGGAGGTTGTTTTACAAGCTCCTCATTTGCCTTTCTTTACAAAAAAACAAAACAGCTCCTTGTTTATAAAGAACGACTTCTTAATTTCATGTCTGGGTACTAGTTTTCTTAGTTTCCTTCAGAAGTGCCATCATTAATTCTAAGCAGTTTTTTTTTAAAGATTTTATTTATTTATTTGAGTGAGAGAGCGAGCAAGAGCAAGTGAGAGAGCACAGCAGGGGGAGGGGCTGAGGGAGAAGCCCACTCACTGCTGGGCAGGGAGCCCGGGGTCATGACCTAAGCTGAAGGTAGACGCTTAGCTGACTGATCCACCCAGGCGCCCCAATACTAAGTGGTTTTTAAGGAACAAGACTTTGGTTGACATGACTATCTGGCTTAGTTACTTCTAGTCTCTTCCCAGATTCCTAGATTATCTGTTTCAAAACATTATATTTCCCCCTGATTCTATGTAAGAGAGCAATTTCTTCTTCTTTTATAAATGAATAGTTTAAAATATTAATAAAATGTGTGTGCGTGTGTGTGCGTGTGTGTGCGTGTGTGTGTGTGTTGTGTGTGTGTGTAAGGCAGTGGGGGTGGATTATAGATTCTGGTAAAAAAAATGTAGGACACTGATTTAAAGAAATGTTTTTTCTAAGAATTCAGTTCTTTGTATCAATTTTAAACAGGTCATGTAAGGGAAAATGTTATGCAGTCAGGTATCTACTAAGTTATCTTTTTTTATAACATTTTTAAATTTAAATTCAATTAATTAACACATATTATTGGTTTCAGAGGTACAGGCCTGTAATTCATCAGTCTTAATATAATATCCAATGCTCATTACATCACATGCCCTCCTTAATGTCCATCACCCAGTTACCCCATCCCTCCACCCCCCCACTAAGTAATCTGAACAAAAACTTCATTTATGCTTTTCCTACATTGTGAGGATTTAAAGTTTGAAATCTAGGATGTTGTATACATTCAGATGGCTATGCATTATTTCTGTATATGACTTTATTTTATGTGTTATATAAAGTTTGAAGTTGTAGTTTTATAGCAAACCCCTCCCCCCAAAATAACAAGATATTGATGATAGCGCCTAAGAAGCAGGATTTCTGGGTCTTGGGAGAGGCAACTTTCCACGGGCCCTGGGCATCCGAACGTTTTTTGCTGAGTATGGCAACAATGCAAGGCCCTGACTGCTCTTCACCGGGGCCATTTCTCAAGGTTGTGTTTTCAGCAAGCTACCTTGATGAGGTAACCTCTTCCCCTGGACAAAGAACAGGCATGCTTCCCCTTGCTATAAAAGCAATGAATCCCCCAAGCTCAGTGTTCCTTGGCTGTGGCATAAACTCATTAGGTATGCGGGATCCACCTGGCATCCTTTGAATTGCCCCATGGGACTCAGGGCTTAGGGACATGGGAACATACACCAATACAAGCATCTTGTTGCTTGCTGTGTCATGGGTAATGAAGTCCTTTGTCTTTCACCCAGGGGTTTCAGGTCTTCCACCAGCATCCATGAAACAGCAACAAGCTCCTTGTCAGTCTGCTAGTAGAGTAAAACCTCAGACCCAGGAACTGGCACGTGGTATTGGAAATCAAGTTGGAGCATTTATCTATGCAGTAATCGACAGCAGTGCTGGGATTGGAGTGAGACAAGCAAGGTGCCTAGGGTCTAAAACTTAAGGAGGTGCTCACTGCCAGGTTAGTGCAAATGGTAGGTGTCAACCCCATGCTTACGTCACTCAGAGAGAGACAGAGAGACCTTCCTGAAGTGTTGGGACCTGGGTGCTTGGCTTGTCTCACTCTAGTCTCATTCTTGCAGGGACGTTCAAATGAAAATAATGATGAGATAACTTTTCATTAGCAAAAAAATTGAAGTGTGACAAAACCCAGGGTTGGCCAAGACACAGAGCAATGGGAATACTGGCACGCTGCTGGTGTGGGTGTTAATTGGTACCCCCACTTAGGGAACAAAGCAGTATCATGTAATCGACTTGACAAAGTTCATACCCTATGGTCCAGTAATTCCACTTCTCCGTATGGGTCTTAGGGACAGGATTTGTGCATGTGCACAAGGCTACATATACAAGAATGTTTTTTGAAGCATCAAAAGAAAAATGGCCAAATAGGTTTTGTCATACTTAGAGGAAGAAAGAGCTCTATACAGATATTACATACAGATATTAAAACTGGAGACCGAGGGCTGCCTGATATGGACAAATTTCAAAAATATAATGTTGAACAAAATAATGAAGGATACATACAGTGGGATACCATTTATCTGAAATTTGAAAAAATGCCAACATATATTGTTTGTATACAAGAACCTATGAAAGTGTAAAAGCTGGCATTGCAATGATAATTGCCAAATATGTGAGTTTATCCCCAGGAAAGAGGGTAACAAATGGGGCAAGTGTGCGCCTGGGTCCCCAGCAGCGTCTGTAGTGCTTATTAAGGTCCTGAAGATGATAGCGTAAGATATGTTTTGACATGGCTGCTGGTGGGCATAAGGGTGCTTATTATATTATTCTCTATTATTTGTATATGCATAACATATTCTATTTTTAAAAGTTGAGATTAAGGACAAAATGAAAGATTTTTAAAGATTAAAAAAAAATAAAAGAAGCAAGGTGGGGTGCCTGGGTGTCTCAGTCAGGTAAGCCACCGACTCTTGGTTTCAGCTCAGGTCATGGTCTCAGGGTCGTGAGATTGAGCCAAGCATCCGGCTCCACGCTCAGCATGGAGTCTGCTTAAGACTCTCTCCCTCTCCCTCTGCCCCTCCTGCTCGGGTTCTCTCTCTCTCTAACGTAAATAAATGAATCTTAAAAAGCTGCAGCAGCAGCAAGGTAATGTTAGCTTATCAGCAAAATTGAATTGTCTACAGCCAGACAAATGTTGCAGCCAATTTCACTATGGATCTTCCTCGACTTCCTAAGCCGAAAATTTAAGTCGAAAATATATTTACTACATCTAACCGACCAAACATCATGGCTTAGTCTAGCCTGCCTTAGCAGTGCTGACAACACTCACATTGGCTGACAGTTGGGCAAAATCATCCGACACACAGCCTGTTGTATAACGGAGCGTTGCCTGTCTCGTGTAATTTACTGACTACCGTACTGAAAGTGACAGAGTGGCTGTGTGGGAACAGAATGGCTGTGGGCAGCTTATTGGTTGCGGACCCTCCTGACCAGGGGCACTGACTCGCCCAGCATGGGGAGAGAGGGTCGTCCCCTTTCGGCTAGGCTGGGGAAAGGTCCAAGTTCAAAATCCCAAGTACGTTTCTACAGAATGCCTGTTGCGCCGGCACGATGGAGCCAGCCGGCCACGGTAAGCCGAGCGACTGTGGTCGGCTACTTGCCCCCGCTGACCTCCAGCACACCCGGGTGTCCGCAGCCTCCTCTGAAACCACGCGCCCGCCGCTGGCTCAATCCAGCATAGTTTCCCCATTCACCAGGGGCTACCAGGACGGACCCGGATCATTCCGCCCAAACTGGGCTGAGAACCGAAGCCCTTGGAGCTGCAGCGCTTTGGCGAGCCCCCCCCCGCCCCCCCCGGCCCCTAACCCCAGCGCTCTGGGCATGCTGCACAACCGAGCGGGGGGCTGGCGGTGCAAGGGAGGCCTCTCCGTCAGCCTCTGCTCACACGCATGGGACAGATAGGCCCGCGGCCGGGGACTCACGGATGCACGCGTGAGGATCGGACATGGCCTTGAGCGCGTCCCTGTAGAAGAGGGGTCTGCAGCGGTCACAGTGCTGCCCCTCGGTGTGGTGGCGGCAGTCCTCGCACACGCCCCCGCTGCGGCCGCCGCTCCGCACGTACGCCATCATGTCGAAGTGACAGCGGTCAGCGTGGCTGTTGCAGCGACAAGCTGAGGAAGGAGACGGGCTATGAGAGACTGGCTGAGGTCTGGGGGACACCGAGCGGCTGAGCCGCGCCAATCACCGCAGCCCTCCTGCCCCTCCATCTCCTGCCACTACCCCGCCTTGTTAGAGATACACCAAGTATGCACAGATCAGTTTGTTTAAAGATTGTATTTATTTATTTGAGAGAGAGTGAGCGCTAGAGTACAAGCTGCGGGGAGAGGCGGGGCGTGGGGGGCGGGGAGAAGCGTACTCCCCGCTGAGCAAGGAGCCGGATGGGGGACTCAATCCCAGGACCCTGAGCCCAAGCAGACCCTTAACCCACTGCGCCCCGGTGGCGCCCCCAGGACACACAGATTAAAACAGGTGCTTTCACTACTGGGTATTTACCCCAAAGATACAAATGTAGGGACCCGAAGGGGTAGTGCACCCTGATGTTTATAGCAGCAAAGTCCACAATAGCCAAACTGTGGAAAGAGCCAAGATGCCCATGGACAGATGAATGGCTAAAGAAGATGTGGTATATATATATACAATGGAATATTATGCAGCCATCAGAAGGAATGAGATCCTGCCATTTGCAACAACGTGGATGGAACTGGAGGGTGTTATGCTGAGTGAAATAAGTCAATCACAGAAAGACATGTATCATATGACCTCACTGATATGAGGAATTCTTAATCTCGGGAAACAAACTGAGGGTTGCTGGAGTGGGGGTGGGGTGGGAGGGATGGGGTGTGTGTGTTATAGATTGGGTAGGGTGTGTGCTGTGGTGAGCACTGTGAATTGTGCAAGACTGTTGAATCAGAGATCTGTACCTCTGAAACAAATAATGCAATATATGTTAGGAAAAAAATGAAGAAGATAGCAGGAGGGGAAGAATGGAGGGGGTAAATCGGAGGGGGAGACAAACCACGAGAGACGATGGACTCTGAAAAACAAACTGAGGGTTCTAGAGGGGAGGGGGGTGGGGGGATGGGTTAGCCTGGTGATGGGTATCAAAGAGGGCACGTTCTGCGTGGAGCACTGGGTGTTATGCACAAACAATGAATCATGGAACACTACATCACAAACTAATGATGTAATGTATGGTGATTAACATAACAATAAAAATTTTAAAGAAAAAAGCCCAGGTGCTTTCAAAGGATCTTCCTAGTGCTCTGATTCTGCTCATATTCTCTGTAAAATGTGCTCCCTGTGTTTAATATTTGTGTTTTTTTTATATCAAATAAACAAAAGTAAATCATTTGGGTGATCCAGAAGGCCTAGGGTGCACCTTGTTTTCCAGTAAAGAATACTTTTACTGACTCAGGCTTTGTAAACTTGAATTTTTATATCCCATGTTCTGTGGGTCCAGGGATCCTCAGATAAGATGTCCAAGCTGGGCCCCCACCTGCTTCTCCACCTCCATGGGCAGAAGAGCTGGAAGGGCGGATATAGGTCACTCCCATCCCATCTGGGGCTCAGCCAGAGCAACAGAGGGAAAGGACTTTGTCTTGGTGGTAAAGTCTGTGCTGTTTGCCTTGCTGGGGTTTCCCTGTAAATAGCAAAATCTCAGGCTCTGTTTTGCTGGGTCTGCCCACTGTGACTCTCATGGATGGGACATTTTCATGAGAACTCTTCCCTCACATCCTAACCCCCCTTCCCCGTCTGGGAAAAGAAACTGAGTAACAAGTTTGTATGGAAGTTCGTCAAAATTCAGAGGCCATGAACACCTTACAAGAAAACCCTCTACCTTATTAGCCTATTTTATAAAAAATACAATAGCCTGTCAGACTTGGCCCTTGTCCTCATCTCTCCTGACATATGTGTTTAAGATCCAGTTCATGAGGGGATGCCTGGGTGGCTCAGTCAGTTAAGCATCTGCCTTAGGCTCAGGTCATGATTCTGGGGCCCTAGGATCGAGCCCCATATGGGGCTCCTTGCTCAGCGGGAAGCCTGCTTCTCCCTCTCCCCCTGCTGCTCCCCCTGCTTGTGCTCTCTCTCTGTCAAATAAATAAAATCTTAAAAAAAAAAAAAAAAAGATCCTGTTCATGGAATGTGTGAGTATTCAGGAAAACGGTAGGGATCTCTGTACCAAACCTGGTATTCACCAGATCCTGGACCAGCCCTGTCCCCACTGATAGTACCGTGACATGGCTCTGCCCCTCCTCCGGAAAGCGACCACATGACGTGCATATTGTTTCAGTGTGTAAATTAATGTTCATGTTTGGTCTGAAGACTTGAGAAGCTGGAGGTCATGGGAAACATCAGGATATCCCACAGCCAGAGCCGGAGCCACAGGGCCATCACCCCTGTCACCTGCAGCCCCACCAAAATGAACTCAGTGGTGTTTGAGGCGGTGCAGAGCACACTGGGTCCAGGCTGAGGATGTTCCCCGCGTACCTCTGCACATGCTGTCCTGGTGGCCTGCTCCTGGCCTCCACGGAGCGTCGTGGAAGAAGTCCCTGCACCTCTCACAGTTCGGGCCATCTGTATGGTGCTGACAGACACAGCGACCGTGAACCTGCGTGGTGTGGAAAGGGGACTTTGCTTGGAGGATGCTGGGGGTTGTTACGTGGAAAGTGAACTAGCAGGCCGGGTGCCTCTCGGTGTTCCTGGCTAGTGACGGCACCAACCTTGACTAGCTTTTGTTATTTGCTTAACCAGCCCTAAAATTTTGAAAAAATTTAAGGTGTTTGGGACACACATTTTTTGGCATTTCTGAGTTCTACTTTTAAGACAACATATTGCAGCCCGCAGCACAAGGAGAGACAGAATGGGGAGTGTGTGTGCACGTGTGTGTGTGTGTGTGTGCGCGCGCATGCACAGGGGTGGCTGAGGAGCATAAGGGAAAAGAGGGAATTAGAAAACAAAGAAACTGGAGAAAAATGTGTGATTCTCTTCGCTTTTCCACAAAATGCCCCGTATGTCCAAGTTCAAAGAGAGACGTTCTATTTCTAGGGAAATATGAGTTGGCTGACAGGAAAGCATCCCGCCTTGTCTGATTGTGGCTAATATTTTAAAATTATTTCGCGGACACACCCTTGGGACTCGGCGTAAAAACACAATTATTCTACTACATCACTCTTTGAAGCCTCGTCCCAAAGCATGGAAGAGATCAGTGCTAGGAATAGTCATTCCCAGGGCAAGAATGTTACTTGGAGTGGTCATTTTGACAGCGACAGATTTTAGTGAAACACCCTGGCACAGAGTACAGGCTTTCCTCACACAAGAGACCTTCAAGGCATTTTTGTGGGACCATGGCTCCTTGCCACCAAAGCTCCATTCCCGAAAAAGCCAAATAAAACAAAAAGGGAGCAAGATGGGCTCCCGGGAAATCATAAATGATAAATGCTACTCATTAATTAATACCAAAGCCCACTCCCCCGCCCCCTGGCTCCCCCAGCTGGTCCGTCAGGCCAGGTTGAATGACACCTGCCCCCACACAAAGCTGTCACTTCGATGGTGGACCCCCTGTAGAGAGTCTGGTCTATATCCAGCAGCAGCACAGTGCAGGAAAGTTAAGGGAGCCAGGTGCCCCTTGGGATTGCTCAGTAACTCACCATTCCGGTGGGGCTGAACGCGTCTCCCCGCACCTTCTGCGCCGGGCCACATTCGCTGGCGTGGCCGTTACAAAAACATCTGCCCCGCACCACCATCTTATACAGAGCATAGTAGTAGTTATCAAGGGACTCCTTTTCCCTCCTTCCCAGCAAAGTATCCCCAAGGGTATGGAGTTTGGTGAAGTTTATCCTCAGGTTTGTTAATGTCACAAGGTCTAGAGAAAGGAAAAGAGCAAAGCAAAGCACACTTAGGAGGCATCAGGTCAAGGCGCTCTCCTGGACTGACATCCCCTTAATGGACTATGGACCCTCAGTGACAAGGAACACTCCTAACGTGAAATTTTAGAAAAGGAATTGGTGCGCAAACGGAGAGCGACTCATACCCTGGATGTAGGGGCTGTAAGGGTTTTCTATTTCAAAGCTGGGATCCAGAACTTTTAAAACGACCTGTAAAACAAATATAGGTAAATGTATAAGCATCCTACCCAAAACAGCGTTGTTAAATATAGTCTCAAAGAAGAGATCCTGACCTTACAAAAGGGCTGAGTCATTGCCTCCCTCGGTGGCGTAGGATGCCGATTATTATTTGGGTTCGCACATGAATAAAAGTCCCAAGAATGAAAATGAATGAAAGATCTTAAACAGTCATTCTGGCTCTTTATGCCCAAGTGGTCGGTGAAGGCAGAAGGTCTGATAGCTCCTGCCTGGGGTTGGGGTGGAGGGATGGGGTCACAGTTCAGCAGGTCATCATCCATCTGGATCTGGCAGGGAATTCTAGAGCTGCCTTCGGCTGCCAATTCTTTCATTCTGCCTGATAAAATAATACTGCCCAACCTCACTCCTGCCCTGACCCTCTGCCAGTCACCAGCTTTGCTCAGAGGAAGCTCCTGGCAGATTCCAGCTGGGTGGTGGTTTACAGAGCATGGAGAGAACACAGCTAAACCAGGGCTGCTGCTAGCCTAGAGCAAGGGTTAGAAACAGATGCTCCTTCCTCTGGGGGCCCTGTGGCCCGGCACCCAGCCTGGGGTCTCAGTCCCCGTTCACCCTCAGCTGGGCATTTGTGTGCAGAATTATTTTTCTTTTCTTTCTTACATAGGCTCCATGCCCAGCATGGAGCCCAACAAGGGGCTTGAACTCATGACCCTGAGATCAAGACCTGAGCTGAGATCAAGAGTCAGACGTGCAACTGACGGAGCCATCCAGGTGCCCTGTGCAGTTATTTCCTATAAGTTATTTACTATTTATCTGAGTTCGAAACGAATGCAGGACTCATTTCAATTAAGACACGTTCATTCTTAAAAAAAAAAAACAACAACAGCTTAAGTTCTGTTTCAGTAAACACTACCTAAGTTGTTTTCATTTAAATGAACCACAGTAGCAAAAAAAAGGTTTAATTTCTATCAGAGAAATCCAAGAAAGGAAAGGCTACCTCGCCACCAGTGGAGGGTTCAATATCCGAATATCTGGAGTCACAAACAAGGTCTCCCACTCCCTGGGCCTGGCCCGATGTGATATTGGGAAAGGAAGCAGCACAGTCTTTTGCAAAATATTTGAGTACTTTCCAGGTGTGTCCATAGTCTGCGGAGCGTTCAACTAACATCGCAGCAGGCCGAAAAGTCTAGAAAAACATGAAGTAAACTTGTAATGCTTCACAAAGGCAGATTTCATTATCCGCTTCAGATTGAACATTTATATTTCCTAATCTCCATTTTTCAAACTTTATTTGTATCTTTGAAAATCTATCATATAATGAACACACAGAAATCTCTTTCCAATCAGTGGGCAAGCTTTCATGAACATATACTGTGCCTCGAATCTGGTTCTGTTTAAAAGATATGTATGGGCTGTGCGAATTATTCATTGAAGAAGGAGAGCATGTCAATTTTTAAAAAGCAACGTGATTGATATTTTACAGCAATTTGCATGTGGTTTTCTTTGACAAGAACACTTTTCTCTGGCAAACTCCTTCAAGATCTATCAGAAAACTTATTCTGATTCCTCAGAGCAGAGTTCACCCCCTTAAGGAGCCCACCAGCATTCTGAACATATGTCAGTTCCTGCACTTACCATTTTGTATTATGATTTTAAATCTCTATGTATGTTTGTATCCTTTACTAGACGGTGAGCCCTCTGAGGGCAAACACTTGTGGGGCGCTTTTTTTCATTTTTTATTACTATAAGTCAGCTTCCAGCCTGATGACAAAATTAGAATTTTGATGAATGATTTGGGAATGACTAGAGCACAGGATTTCTCTGGCATCTAACTATCCTTAGCAAAGACCCTTTCATTTTTCTGCCTCTTTTGATCTCAACCTTTCTGTATTTCCCTGAATAATTTCCACTTCCTGCATTTTTCTCCTTAAAAATATTTTTCTAGTTCTTGCAGTCCCTATCACCCCAGTGCTTGGAGTTTTCCTTCCTGCTCTATCTTGTATGATTTCTGTCTTTCTTTTCTTTTTTTTTTCTTTTTTTGGTTGACCATCTAAGTGATTAATTAATGAGCAGTGGGGTTCTTGTTCGTTTGTTTTGTTTTGTTTTCCACTCAGGAACCAAAACCCAAATGACAAAGCTTGAGCAGAGATTTACAAAGCCTTCTGTGCTCTGCCAGGTAGAAAGGAAGTGAAATCCCAGGCAAGCCCAGCATTTTGTAGGTAGGTAGAGGGGGCAGCAAGCCCACACATCTGTACCTTGAAGGTCAGAATGAGGTGGCTGAACTGAAATAATGCCTCTAGGTCCAATCTGATGCTGACATGGTCAAGACCTAAAGAAAAATCCAGAAAGAAGAAAATCAGTGATTTCGAGAGACCCCTATTTATCACATTAATCCCTCCCTGTGGCTTGTCTGTAATAAAGCCCTTTGAAATCGGATGGCTGGGCATCCACACTCTTTCCTGGTATTGTCCAGTGGTTTCCCATGACACTCCATGTGCAGAAGGTCTACTTGAGAGCAATATAGGGTTTACCCAGACTGTGCCCACGTTCATGTTATGGTGGCTGTGCACACGGCCACTGGGTGGCAGTATCATGTCCCACCAAGGGACTTCCGGGACGTTCCCATAGGTGGGCTTATGTCCTTGAACTTATGTCTTGACTGTGCGTAACCCTGAGCCAGGAAGCCAGAGCCTGGTAAAAATCGACACACCCTATTCTTCCAGCAGCTGCTTAACCATCACTTGGACTAGTTTTATTGTCACTTAGCATAAAACACAGCCTGAAATTGTCCCCTTGGAGTAAGGATCTGCGGCTCCTCCATGACTGAGGAGAAGAAAGAAGTAGCCTGGCCCAGACTTTGCACTGAGATAGTCAGCAGCCATTCACCTCCAGCCTGGATGTGGAGGATGGGCCCCAGCCTGGACGGAACAGAAGCCCTGATCACTCTAGAGTAGCCCTGTCCAGTCGGAATAGGAGTCACACGTGTCATTTAAGATTTTCTAGCAGCCACACTTAAAGAAGTACGAATAAGCAGGTGAAACTAATTTTAATCTATTGAACCCAATATATAAAAAGCAGTCTCATTTCAACATGTGGTCAACATTTAAAAAAAATTCATAGTGCTTTCTTTTAACTATTAACAATGTTTCATTTTTTCCAAACGAGGTCTTAGAAATCTGGAATGATTTTACACCACGAGCACATCTCAGTTTGGATCGGCCATGTTGTTAGTGCCCAGGAGCGCCCAGGGCGAGGGGCTCCGGGACCAGACAAAACAGCTCTGAGAGCACTAACTAGGCTGCAGCAAATGGGAAGCAGTTTTCTTAGAGGGTGAACCACTCAGGAGGGTTTGCCGCTCAGAGGGCAGCCCCGTTCCCAGGTCAAGGGCTCCTCAGCCTTTCTAGAAAGGAGATCTCCTTTCTCCTCTCGAAAGAACCCTTGTTCTATGCAAACAAGAACCCTTGTTCTATGCAAACAGCTTTGACAGAGGGGCACTCCTTCTGTGAGGTGATGTGGGACAAATGCTGGGCACGTGGTTTAAAACAGCTGTTAAGCGGGGCACCTGGTTGGCTCTGTTGGTTGGGCTCAGGTCATGATCTCAGGGTCCTGGGATTGAGCCCCACACTGGGCTCCCTGCTCAGCAGGTAGTCTGCTTCTCCCTCTGTCCCTCCCCCTGCTGTGTTCTCTCTCAAAACAAAAACAAAAACAAGTAGGAAAACAGCTGTTACACAAAAATGGCATCAGTGAAGGCAGGTGGCTGTGGCAAAGGCCCCTCCCGTGCACTAAGAAGAGCCGAACTAGAGATGAGTAATTGGGATCCAAAATGAGCTGGCATTTAGTAGACACCAATCACATACTTGTCCAATGGGCAGCATAGAAAAACAGCCTCATATTACGCTTGCCCTATATATTATGATCCTATACATTATGATTATTCCCACGTTCCCCTAATGGTCTAGGATCCCCTGTGGGAAATATGCTTAGGCATCTGAAGAGGATAGAGGGATTGTAGCCCCAGGACAACATATAGAGATGTGGCAAATGGAATCATTTTGTGGGCTGAGGGTCCCAGATGGGTGTTGAAGAGGAGCCATCATGAGTGAGCCAGCTACATTCATTCAAGCATGTAAGGCCCAAGGCCGGGGTGGGACGTGAGGAATCCCCAGTCAGGTCCTGATCGGGGCACCTCGGAAATACAGACGGTCAGGGCCAATATAAGCTTCAATACCACAATTGTTCATGAACAGAGAAGGGCACAAATCCAGGAAGGAAAGACCTTTAGTTAGTACTAACTATCTTTTCAATTCAATTTTTATATGAAAATATTTGGCTCGCAGCAAGCAATGACATGTTCTTTTTCTCTCTCCCTGCATGTGCTGCAGAAGGAAGAAGTACATGGTGATAACTCTCAGATTTCCCCCGGGGCATCCTTAATTCCATTTACATCAGTGTGTTTTATATTAGCCTTCATTCACCAGCACCTTGTAAGTGGCCTATTTTTTTCTTTTTTTTTTACAAAGAACAAAAGGATGCACAGATATTTTCTTCCCGTACATGGAAAGAGTGAAGCACCAAGAGTTAGGTGCTTAAAATACACTGAGTTCTCTGCAGGAAAATAACCTTTCCTGAAATGAAAATCAAGTTTGTTCTTATACGGGGTTTTACATTCTCGGTGGAGGCTATTCCATTCCAATAGGGCTCCTTGCTGTGAAATTGTTACAATCATACCGAGCGAAAGACATCTTATTAAAAATGTAAAGAAATGAAAAACTGGAAAGGAACTCAATCGTACCATTTTCAGATTGCCACCATTTCTTTTCTCTCTCTGGTTCAAAACTTGTAATTACGTTCTCAATGGTGTGGCTGTGGGATTGGGTGTACGGGTTGTATGGAAATCTCGAGTCGCAGATGAAGCATTTCTGCTCCCCCTGGAAAAGACCATCATTTAGATAAAAAATAAAGAGTCAGAATTACTTATTGTTGATCTGAATTTGAAAACAAGCTGTACTTGCTATATTTATCTTTCAATCTGGCTAAAAATAAAAAGCAGAGGAAATAACAAGACATCAATTTTTCCATCAATAGGTACTTAACAACAATGACAAAGGCAATAAAAATATGACCCAGAAATTTGATAAATTGATATATTTGGGGTAAAAATGCAAATTTATGTGGAACTAATTTTTGTCTTACACAAGAGGCAGATGATCTGGAACTTATGTTAAACTGTAGAGAAATAAACAGGATACATTCCTTGAGGGATTACTCTCTTTAGTCAGAAAACGAATATTTGGCAAGAAATTAATGAAACACTTGGCCACCAAGTTATCTGCAACCATCCTCCTTTCTCTCTCAGACCTAGTTTTTGGTAGAAAAACTTCCATGATCAAAACCTCTACGTTTGTGGATTTTGTAATATGTGGATTTTGTAAAAGATTCTCACTGAACTCGTAACAGAGAGGCCTGCCCCCTGGTCTTGCAGACCAGAAGGTCTCATTAATCAATTGGCACTACTTTACTTGGAATGGACTTCCAAAGGTTGCAACAGCCAAGACTGGCCTTTGAGTTTGCCTAACTTAATGCATCTAGCAGCCACATTTAAAAATTGAGTCGTCCCTCGATTCTCTCAACTCTGGCTTACACTCACTTCTTGCTCTTCCTTGAGTTCACCAGGAACTCCACTGCCTTACAATCTTGACACAAGCTGTTCTCTGCTCCCCTTTCCTCCAGCCCTCAAATAGCCCCATCTCTTGCTCCTTCCCTTCTTCTGGGGCTCTGTTTAACTGCCCTCCTCTCAGATTTCTATCTAAAATACCACCAGCTCCCCACCTTTACAGCCTCTGCCACTCTTCGTTTCTTCCTCTGCTTTGTGATATTTTCTAAGCCCATATCACCACTTGAGACTGTATTGGACAGTTGTTGGATTATTGTCTGTCTCCATCATTAGTATTTAAGCCAAATGAGGGCGAGGACTTTGTTTCATATAAGTTGTATCCTCCTTACCTACAACAGTGTCTGGCACATAGTAGATGCTCAGTAAAATTTGTTGACCAATTGCGTGGTGATTTTAATGACTATTTCAGCTAATGTCTGTCAAAGTAAACCAGCCTTTCAAGAGGTCCATATAATCTCTTTAGAATCACTGGCCACCATAAGCCTTATACTTACAAAAAACACCAAAATGCCTTTTGGAAATTAAGAAGGGATGGAAGCAAGATCTATTCTGCATATGGGGAAGCTTGCCCCAGACCTGTCCTGAAAGGAGAGCGGAAGCTTTATGATTCCATCAAAAGATGTCAAGACTTCAAAAGATTTCCAGTAAGACTATGGAAATTATTAGGGACAATGTTTAACTTTGGGGCTTATTCTGTAAATATTTTAGGAGCATACCCTTGATGGACCTGGCTACACAGGATGCTTAGTTGCAGTAACCGGATGGGGGAGTCCCAACTTGGGTAACGCTATGGGTCAATGTTGATTTGAAGCTTCCAAGAAGAATGTTTGGCTTGGTAGCAATTTGTTAGACAATGGATGGGGAAAAAACCATCCTCTGTGCTGCACAAATGTTTAAGTAGACCAGTCCTTGTAGCCCCACCCAGAATACTTGCTCAGCCTGAAGACATTTTGAGATTTCTTTCTAGCTCTATGATTTTAAGATTTCTGGCATTCTCGAGACAAAAGAACCTTGAAGTCTGATTTACTTCTACTTTTGGTGGTGTGACTTTGAAAGATAGAGGAGTATCAAGTCCTAATTATTGTCAGAGTACGGCATGAGTTGGCCAAGGCAACAGTAGGCAAAATGTCAATGTTTGGAGAACAAGATGTGGGATGGCAGGGTTGGAGAGTTTCTTTTTTTTTTTAAAGATTTTATTTATTTATTCATGAAAGACAGAGAGAGAGAGAGAGAGAGGCAGAGGGAGAAGCAGGCTCCCAAGGAGCAGGGAGCCCGATGCGGGACTCGATCCCAGGACCCTAGGATCATGACCTGAGCCGAAGGCAGACGCCTAACCATCTGAGCCACCCAGGCGCCCTCGGAGAGTTTCTAATATTAGAGTTGAGAACCATTTCTTTGTCCAGAGGGCCTGGAATTAGTGAAGTCACTGGAAGGGCCATCCATCCCACCTGAACAAAACTTCTACAGTGTCATTTCCTTGCACATGTAGTGAATTTGCTTTCTGACACAAGTCCTTCCCAAACTTAGAATGGTGCTAATCACTCAGGTATTGTCTCCACTTATTTATAATCATCCTCTTTTACTAGAAACCAATTAGAATACAAAGCATTTCCCAGAGACCTCCAGGAGTTGCTTTCAATGAACAATACATGGAAAAGCCTGGGCCGTGATCATTAGGCTTATGTCCAACTTCCTTCCTGCACATCCTCTTAAATAAGGGGTTGACGTGATTGCCCCAGGCTCCTCGGCAGGTAGGATACTCGGATGACCTTGGATGCTTGTTTTGCTCCCAGAGCGTGGAGAAGGAAAAAACTATAAAGCAGCTGGTCTTTAAGGGGGAAAAAAAAGGCACGAAAATATGTTCATATTGGGATCTTTTGGCCTTTAGACAAGACAATTTCCAAGTGGCATCATGAGACTGGCATGCCATCAATTCAACATTCTACCCCCCACCCCCCACCCAAGGCAGGGCAATGAGAACTCACATTCAGTGTAATGGCCTTGAGACCCTGAGCGATCTTCAATCTTCACTGATGGGTCAATTAAATTTACTCTCTAGGAGTCACTAATGCAGTTAAATAGAACAGTACATTGCATAGTAATTCCCTTCGAAGGCTGAACCAAGGAGGCTTTTCTAATTCTAAAGGTAAAAAGAAAGAGATGAAGCAGATCTTCCCCATTTTCTGATCAGTCAAGGGCTTCTGGACTTGGAATCATATCACCCGTGCCTCTGATGTTCAGGAAAGGGTGATGTGTCCTCCTTTCATGTTGCCTGGCTGGCCCCCGATATACTTATAAAAATCTATGTCATCAACTCAATAATGTCCCAACAAATAAACAAAGAACCAACGCACCTCGAGGTAGCTGAGAATGCAGTATTTCTGGGCTCCATCCAACCCACAGGTAGAAGAAGCCGTGAGCTGTGCGCTGCGACCCACCAGGAGATCACCGGTGGTGGGGTGACAGGAGCCCCTTTTGCATTCATCTTGGGCTTTCATGTAACCGAGCAACCCTTGAACACAACAGACATGGCTGCACAGAAGGCAATCAAAGGGCAGCAGAAGGCTTAAAGAAGCAAGTGGTTAAGTTGGAAAGTTAATAGTCCCATTTATTTTCAAAACCAGTTCTCTGGTTTTCTGGTCATTAAGACTCTGGTTGTGGATACTGTTGGTGCCCTTGGCCTAATGGAAATCTCTTAGCCTGCCAGGCTATACCATCTGCGTTCATGTCCCCACCTGGGCCAGCCTGTAGCCAGTGACTGATGGATACACAGTTCAAAAGTCTGGCAGCATTGCCTCAGGCTGGGAGCAACTCTGTGGTGTGGTTTGTGCTCAGAACCTTTCACAGGAGGAGGTTGAAGCCCCACTCCAGCTGGGACCACATCCTGCCTCCCCTCTCCTCACTCTTACTCCTCAGAGCCCTCCCTCACTAAATCACGGACACACAAATCCCTGTCTCAGCCTCTGCGTCTAGGAAACCTGACTTGAGACAGCCTGTATGTACTAGAAATTCTCTGTGTGTCATTTTAGGGCAAATAAAGCACATAGACACAAAGAAGGAAAATCTTAATCCAGCCTCTTATACGTATTGTTCCAACCTGTACAAATTCAACTGGAGAATTTAAGAAATCCTTGGGAAACTACTTTCTCTTAAAACATGTAAATTCAATTGACCCTGTTTATAACCTGGACTCTTGGGTTCGGATTCACCATGGAACAAATCATGCCCCTTTGGGCTATCGTGAGAGATGTAGTTCCAGACCCACACAAATAGGCCCAACTGATTTTTGAGGCACCAAGGCAGTTCAATGGAGGAAGGGTAGCCTTTTCAACAAATAGGGCTGGAGGAACTGGACATCCATAGGCAAGGAAATGAACTATAACCAAAACCTTACACCTTATACAAATATTAATACAAAACGGATCCTGGACTTCAGTATACATATAAAACTGTAAAGCTATAATGCTCCTATAACGCATGGGAGAAACACTTTGAGACTTAGGACTAGGTGAAGACTTTTTAGGATTGACTACAAGAACGTGATCTGTCCAAGGAAAAATCGGTAAATTGGACCTGGTCAAAATTAAAACTTTGCAAATTACACTGAGTGAAAAAAGCCAATTAAAAGGTTATGCACTGCATGGCTCCATTTCTTGAATGACAGAATTATAGAGATGGAGAACAGATTTGTGGTTGTCAGGGATTAGGGAGGTAGGGAGGAGGGTGTGGATAGAAAAGGGTCGTACTAGGGCTCCTTGCGGGTAATGGAGCTGGTCGGTATCTTAACTTCGGTGATGGTCACATTAATAAAATTGCATAGAATTAAATACACACACATGAGCGCACGTAAAACTGATACAAGCTGAACAAGGACTATACCCTTGTCATTTGTCTGGTTGTGGTACCCCACTATCTTCACACGAGAAGTTACCATTGGGGGAAACTAGGTGAAAGGTGTATGGGATCTCTTTGTATTATTTCTTACAACTGCATGAGAACCTGCAATAATCTCAAAATAAAAAGTGAGAAAAACCCACAGAATCCTCTGCCCCTTCAAAATCACCCCATCAGCCTCTGGACGGTGAATCAAGCAAACCCTACACTCTAAGATAATACACACATACAGGACCTACTCTAGCTGCTCTTACATACTTTTCCCTTGAGACATGAAGATTTATGCCAAGCCCTGATTCCAGCAGACAGGAGTGAGAGGGATGGGCATAAAATGGAAAATTATCCTGTGGAATAAGACTGGTTTCTCTCCAGCTTTCTCAATTGTAAAACAGTAAGAATTTTTTTATGGTCTTGTTTTGCATTTAATGGATTTCTTTCCTTCAACTAGTCCTCCAAAAATAGAAGCTATTGAAAAGTAATGTTTTTTCTCTTATGTCCAAATTCCCCACATGAACTATTCTATTCATCTGGTCATTTTGTGATTATTATCAGGCATTAATACATAGATCATATTCTATAGCTAAGAATATGATACATAAGGTCTCCTTTTACACAGGTTACCAAATACTCGTTTGGACAAGGAATTTTCTGTCTTCACTCTCCTCACAAAGATTACTATTATTCCAAAACAGGGGCACAACAGTGCTTTCTCCTTCTTGAAGATAGATAAGTGAAAAAAGTTAGCACCATTGCATACTTCCATTTAATTGTATAATAAATGATCCTAGGTTGGTTAACATGGATTTTTCCTTTTATTCACCCAACAATCCAAACCCAGATCTCCTTTTATTTCCTAGACTTGACCTCTAGGATAAATAACCAGTCAGAAGTTTGGACTCCCAAAGACAGAGGCTTTTAAAGACAAGGTCAGGTATAAAAAATCTCTGCTAATGCTACTATGTGTGGATTAGCTAAGACTTCCCTTCCAGGGATTTATTCTTCTAGACAAGTTCCATCCTGAATTCTTTTATTGGAATTGCTGCCTTAGAGATTTAACATGTTTTTATAACCCGACTTGGCCTAACTTGTTTTGATCAGATGTGTACTTTTCAGAAATAAAAGTATTCCAGGACTTAGGGAAATCGAACTATTATTATTCATGTAATAGTCTAAATGAGAATATAAATTTCCAGCCTCAAATACTTGGCAAAAAGTGGCTAGCAACATAAGCAGTTAAAGCTCCATGCTGAAAACAGATAGCCTTAGCAATACCCTTCCTGGGTTAGAGTTTTCCACTGCCGGATTATCACATTAGCAACAGGCTGGAATTGATTCAGAGAATAAAGATGCTTAGCTCTTTAGAGAATCAATGCATTCCTCAAAAACAACATGCATCTTGAAGATAGGATCTGATTAAACATGAACTTAGGAGATCTGGTCATTTAAAGAAAATGCACAGCAAATGTTCTGTAAAGTGAAGGATCATTTTGTAGAAATAACCATTATTATATAATCTCTCATTTTGTATATTGTTTTCATTTTCTTAAACACGTGGGATGTTTTCATATACTTTAGAGTTCATGTTGGAGTTTAGAGGCTGTAAACATACACACACACATTACTTATCATGCGTAAGAAAACTTATAAAGAATGTATGTTAGGTAGGGTGTATACTTTGTGTGTAGTTCCTAAAATCTGGCGAGTGCACATATTAGGATTATTTTTCCTAATCTTCCTTAGTCAGAAGGCAAGTCTAAGGCCTTAAATAGGCTCCAGTTTTTATATAAATACCTATGGTTGAACTACAAACCAGAAAATGCCCAAGCTGATATGTGGGATTATGGTAGTTTGACCATAGGCAACCCTAGAGACTTGGGTTAGATCAGGGTAAGCTTACGGGTGGAAACCCAGGATCAACTGTAGTGAGGTCTTTTTCTTTTTCTTTAAATTTTTTAAAAAAGTAATCTCTACACCCAACTTGGGGCTCAAACTTACAACCCGGAGATCAGGAGCTGCATGCTCCACCCACGGAGCTAGCCAGGTGCCCTGAGGTCCTTTTCTGCCCAAGCTAATTTGATTTTGAAGATCTTTCATCCTGAGAGAAAGGTCTTCTGATTGGAGAGGGGTCCCTGAGGAACCTTGCTGTGGTTTAGAATTTTGGCAAGGTGTGGGGAAGTTATCCTACACGGAGGTTCAGGGATCCTCAGTGGTTGCTTCTGATTTTGAACATGAGTTTAGTCCCAAAGAGAGCATCCGAGGCAGATGTAGATGGAAACAGCTCTTCTCTGGCCATCTGAGGCCAGATCTAAGTTTCATTGTCCTGGGGGAGGCAAGGTAATGAGTCTCTGCTCCTAGTGGCTTGCGGCTCACCTCTCCAAGGCAGAGAATTTTCAGCAGAGAACAAATGAGCGTTTTCTACTTTGAGCTGTTCTTTTCTCTACCACCAGCAAATCTAACTGGGAGATTGCCTCAGGGTTTGGGGCTAGCAATTAAAAAATGAGATTCTTAAAGTTTGCTGCCATGAAGAAATTCAGCATGAATCTTTGAAGAGAAGATTCTAAGCAATTTAGTCAGTACTTAATAACTAAAAGCAGGACTGGTATAGAAAAGTCAGGATCAAAGAGAGTAATTGTTGGAAACATCCTCTCTATGACTAATGTAAATTATTCGCAGTTTATTAAAGATGGCAGAGGCGTGGAGGATTTAGCCCTTCAGTGGAGAGGAGCTGCGGCTTACTCAGAAGGGGAAATTTTGCCTGTAAATTCTTCACAAGACCTCATTACCGGGACAAGTGCTACATTCAAACAGTCCTCTATTTCAAAATTAAAACGCATTCTACTTGTAAATTAAGAATCTGAAAGTATTTCTACTTTCCTTGGTATCTTAATTTACTTATCTGCTGATAGTAATATTCCATTTTTTTGTTTTATTTTTAATAATATTCCATTAAAGATGATTGAAATAGCTGTGTGTGGATAGAAAACATATTGGAGTGGAATTTTCTAGTTGCTGGACACAATTATACAACAGAAGAACCATGACAATATATAGAACAGAAAAAAAGAGGTGGATATGTTTAAAAAACATTTTTACTATTTTAGAACAATTCAGTAAAAGCAGAAAATGGATTTTGACAACTAATACTCACCAAGGTGCAAAAAAAACCCCAGTAGAAATTGCATTCTTTTGTCAGGAACTGATTAAATTCAGTTTTGCTAGGTTAAAAAAAAAAAGGAGGTTAAAGTCAGTCACTGATAGAATCAATAATTGCCATCAACTTTCAATGATTCAAAAATTTGATGATTCTTTAGGGACACAAAATATCTATAGCGCCCAATTTCTTAAAAAGTAAGAGTGCATAAAATTTTTACCAATGTTTGTTCTCTATTTTCTTGAAATCACAGAATGCAATAGTTTGTAGGAACTATATGAAACAAATACAATTTCATTTGCATATTTTTATTTACCTATTTTTGTCCTCCTATTGTTTAGAAAAAAATTTTTAATTATGCAATCAGTATGTACTCATTATTGAAAAAACAGAAAAATCAGACAGGCAAAGCGAGGGAATTATTATCCATAGTAGTACCACCCAGGGACAAGTGGTTAATATCTTGCTGTATGTTTTTCCATAGTGCTTCCCTTCCATATAAGTATTTTCCAAAAATGATAGCATATTGTATGCTTGTTTCAATCAATGCATCCCAGACATCTCTCTGTACCAGCAGATATAATTTTACATCAGGAATTTTTCAACCTAGTGAGGGACATCAGGATCACCTGGGGACTTCCACAAACCAAACTTGTGTCCCCGTTTGTAGATTCAGCCATGTCCCCCTAGATGGAGGGTGACCCCAAGTCACTGTGTGGGGAAGCCTGATAGAGATGGGTGTGTACATGCCCCGCAGGGGTTGGGAGGAGAGAAGGTAAAATGTTCTCCTGCACCAGTATTTTTAAATTACTGGATAGTATTCCTCTGAATGCAGGAACCAGAATTTATTTAACGAATCCTCTCTTGGTGGATGTGTGCTTTGTTTCTAGTATTTTCCTGTTCTAGACATTTTTGCTAAATCTTTATTCATATCCTGAATTTCTCCCCAGGATACATTAAGTGGAGTGGAACTAATAGATCAAAGAGCCTGTGTGTGTTTGGGTGTCTGTGTGCACACAAACATACGTATGTGTACGTAAAGAGTACACTGACATATGCAAACATACTACACACATGTAGCATGTGTGTGTGTATAAAGCTGCTGTTACTGCCAAGTTGACATGTGGACATTTCGTCCCAGTGCACATGCTCACCAACAGCCAATGAGAATAGCTGCTCACTTGTGCCCTTCCCAACACGGAATATTATGAATTTTTAAAGCTTTGTCAATTTAAAGAGCAAAAAAATTATACATTGTCCTTATTGTTTTAATGTTTCTATTTGGGTAGTAGTGAACGTAAAAATGCTTTTCCATGTATTTACAGGTGAGAATTATTTTTGCCCTTTGATCCTTCGAGGCTTTTCCTAGTGAATTCTTTGTTTTCCTCCCTGCCCAAGCTCTGAGTCCCCCTAACTTGATGTGCCTGGCATTCCGCTCTCAGAACTCTCCTCTCATGCTCTTGGCTTTGCCTTGAATGCCACCCTCCTAAACTCAAATGCCAGCCTCCTTACGAAGTCTTTTGTTTAAATGCCTGATTTTAGGCGCATTTCCTTCTGTGACCCAAGTTCTTCCCCCAGCCTGGGCTTCATTTTGGACTTCCCGATGTCATAAGAAGACGAGTCACTGAGAAGCAGTGCCCCCGGCAGCATCTCCAACTGATAATGAGTCCTCTCTCTTAAAGTCAGCGATTTTGGACTGCTCCCTGTATACAAAACCTTGTCAAGACCTACAGGAGAATCCAGAACGGAGCTTTCAGAAGGTCCATTCTATGTGGGGTCACCTGAGCGCCTTTTCTAGGTGGCGCTGTCTTGTCGCCTTTTCCTCAGTCAGGGCATGTGGCTTGGGTCCCTCACTCAGCTATACTTTTGAAACTGTGAAATTCCCCATCCTGATGTCCTGATTCAGAGCTCCAGCCTGCGTGCTTCATTTTGTCAAATGCAGGACGAATAACAGCGTGGTTATTCTTTTAATAAGAATGGGCAATACAAGCAAAGTATGAAAGTATTCTTCTCTATAACCAGAGAAACTGAACTCGGTGAGATTATGATGTATGCAAACAGCCTACAATTCAGGGCTTGAAATGATCTAGCCTCTGGGTTGCTGAATGCCATCGAAATTACGAAATTACGCAGCATCTCTGCTTCTCTCCAGTGGGGAATCCATTCACAGGGCAGATTCCAAACTGAAACACTGTTTCCAACTACAGATGAGGGCTAAAATCTTCCTCTTCTGGGAAGGTGGGAGGGACGCAGATGGCACAATTCTAATGACCCAGGTTTAGAGAGAAAGAAGACTGCCATGTTGACCACAGGAGCAAAACTCGTGTGAAAGGAAATGCCTTTGGAGACAAACCATAAGAAACTCTTAACCATAGGAAACAAACTGGGGGTTGCTGGAGGGGAGGGGGGTGGGGGATGGGGAAACTGGGTGATGGACATTGGGGAGGGTATGTGATGTAATGATCACTGGGTATTATATAAAACTGATGAATCACAGACCTGGACCCCTGAAACAAATAATACATTATATGTTAATTAATTGAGTTTAAATTAAAAAAAAGAAAGGGATGGCTTTGGCAGAGCACGGGGGATGGGGGTAGGGGACAAAACTTCCTAGTATCACAGTTCATCACACATCTGTGATGCAAATAAACTCCTGGGAATTTTGTCAGTCTACGAAGTATCTTCAAGCAACAGTAAAGATCACGATACAAGGAAGTGAACCTCCCAGCATGCATCAGCCAGGTTCCAGCCTGACTTGCTCCAAAGAAGAGAGCCCTAGAAGGGGAACCCAAGCTAGACTAGAATAGATACCATTCTCTTATTCATAATTGCTCAACGCGTATCACCTGCTCCTCAGTGCAGAATTACCGGGCTTATCGATAATTCCCCTGCGGGCTGAGCACCTCCAAAGCCCTGGCCGCAGCTCAGAAACCCCTGGGAAGATTATCTTTTCATGACTTCTTTTTAAAATACTTATTTATTTTCTGATACAATACACATAACATAAATCTACCATCTTGACCATCTGAAAGTAGTTAAGTACAGCCACATTATTGGGCAGCCCATCCCCAGAACACTTCATCTAGCAAAACCGAAACTCTGTACCCATGAAACAGCTTGTCAATCTCTGGTCCCCCTAGCCCCTGGCAACCACCGATCCAGTTTCTGCCTCTATGAATCTGACTACTCCAGGTACCTCATACAAGTAGAATCATACAGTACCTTTTTGTGACTGACTTGTTTCACTTAGTATGATGTTTTTGAGATTCATCCATGTTGTAGCATGTGTCAGAATTTCCTTCTTTTTTAAGGCTGAATAATATTCCATGGTATGTATGGGGGAGATTTTTAAGTGATTGATGCTCAGGCCCAACTCAGACCAATTCAGTCAGGACGGCTGGAGTGAGACCCAGGTGCCAATGTGTCCACGACGCCCCCCAGAGGATTCTCATATGTAGCCAGGGCAGAGAACCACCGATGGCTGGTGAACCCCTAAAACTCATCAACTTGCCCACATACCTGCCCTCCTCCTGGATTCCATTCTAAGAGAAGGGCATAACCAGTGGCTCCAAATGTTGATGCACATTTGAATCTCCTGGCCTGCTTTACATGTCCTGCTGCCCAGGGAACATTTTATCCCAATCAAATCAGAATATCTGGGGGTGGGGTGCCAGCAACAGTGGTTTTTTTTTTTTCTTTTAAGATTCTAGGTAATTCCAACGTGCAGCCAAGTCTGGGAGCCACTGGGGTTACCATGGCCCGACTTGCTTAGGCCAGAATGTTGAGGGTTATCCTTGTTCCCTCCCTGTCACGCTTCCGAATTTAAATTTGATCTCCTCTCCTTAAACAGTCGTTCACAATGTGTGGTCCATGGATTTAACAAGGTGACCAGTTCATCCCAGTGTGCAGGGGACTTTACTCGTGTAAGCATCAAAAGTTCCCAGGTCCTTGGAATGCCCTTTGGTCTGGGCAAATTCAAATGTTGGTCACCCTACTGGATCACCAGCATCAGCATCACCTGGGAACTGGTTAGAAATGCGAATGATCAGGCCCCGGCACTAGAACCATTGATTCAGAAAGTCTAGGGATGGGGCCCAGCACCGTGCGCTTTTACAAAGCCCTCCAGATGAGGTTGATGTATGCCCAAGTTTGAGAACCACTGCTCATCCAGTAACTCCCGGGTCCAAACGCTGAAGACCAGAGCTGCTGCTGCTGGGACAGCAGTAACACCTCGCGAGAACCTAATCTGTGCCACGTGCATTCCCAGCTGTCTGCCTGGGCTGGGTGGCCCCCCACTTAAGGCACTGCAGGTCCAGGCTGTGGTACGGGGGGGGACGTAGCAGGCAGGTGGGGGCACCCTTCAGCCTGTCACGCCACTGGGCTCTGTAGATCATGCAAACAAGGCCAAAGCAGCCCCAGCAGGGATGGCCCCTTTTTACCGCTGAATAATATTCCATTATATGGATGCATATACCACTTTGTTCAGCCATTCATCAGTTCATGGACATTTTTCTCTACTTTTCGGCTATTATGAATAATGCTGCTATGAACATTTATATACAAGTTTTTGCATGGATGGATGTATTTTCATTTCTCTGGGGTAAATGCATCACTGTAGAAAAACACTCTGTTTCTTAAACTAATGTTAAGACCTCGTCTAAACCTTTCTCAGAGACTGTAAGCACTTGAAGGCCAACATTCATCTTCTTTTCCTCAGAGCTATGTAGAAAAATACCAAAAACATTTGCCAACTTGAAGTCGTTGCCGTTTGCATCTCTTTTTCTGTTTTTTAATTTATTTTATTTTGTTATGTTATGTTAGTCACCATACAGTACATTAGTTTTTGATGCCATGTTCCATGTTCGTATAACACCCAGTGCTCCATGCAGTACGTGCCCTCCTCAATACCCATCACCAGGCTAACCCATCCCCCCACCCCCCTCCCCTCTAAAACCCTCAATTTGTTTCTCAGAGTCCATAGTCTCTCATGGTTCATCTCTCCCTCTGATGTCCCCCCCTTCATTTTTC